CTTGGCCAATCCGATTTCCCATCTATAGAAAACCCGCGATTGAATCAAGACTTTCGTAACCCAGGGCAAGGACTAAGGATTGCCGGCTCAAAATTCAACGGGTGTTCTATCATGGCGATATTTGATGGGTTTCCAGTCCTTTAAAACTTTTATGGTTGTCAGGGGCCCCCCAAACGAGGGAACCCTGCAAATGGTCCCCAAAAAGAACCCAATTCGCCCCTATTAGACCCTCTTAGTCCCTATTAGCCCTCGGGCGGCGCTCATTGGAGGCCCTTGCCACAGCAAAAACCCAAAGGATCGGCAAGTAGTTCAACCCATGCCCCGCACCGACACCACTTCCGTTTACCTGTATGGGTAACAACCCGGATAACGGTGAAGGGTTATCTAGCAAGTTATCTAGGTAGTCGCGCATTGCCTGAGATCTGAATCTGGGATGAATATTCCGAAGATTCGGATCGCTGTATGTCGCTCACAAGTTCAGCTTTGCACACAACGAAGCTGCTCGAATTCTATAACTTACCAAGACCGGAACGTGAAGACTAGTTGCCCAGAGGACCTGAGAGTGAAAGATTGCCAGTGGGGAAAAGGGTAACATGTTGGCCAGTAGACTTGTTGAGGTCTAGCCCTCCCCCGCCCATAGCCCTGACAGGTCCGTGATTCTTGGCTCATCCAGGTATGGCCCCCATCTGGCTTGCTCACAGCGAGCCATGCGCCGTCGCCTGGATCTGCTGAAGCGCTGAAGTCTGGCCACGCATTCATGTGGCCAAAAGCGGGAATTGGTTCCCGCAGCCCAAGCCCAGTAAACCGCATCTGCTCGCGGCGACCGCCTTATGGCGCAGCCCCAAGTCCCCGATTTCTTCCGCTGCGTCTGTCAGATGTCTTTAACGAAGACCGATGGAACCCGATCGCAAGCTTAATTTGTTTGCTATGTGAAATCCAAACCAATCACAAGACTTAACAATTTGTTTGTTTGTTGTTTAAGCAAAACAATACTGATAATCACATAGACAAAATCAGGACATCGCGACCAACAACACGCTTTTGGAGCAGATGCACTACCGAGCTCTGGTGTCCGAACACACGACACCTTGAGCCAATCTTGCGTGGAAGGCATGGCAGGTTCGCCCTCCCCAGCCCCCACCCCAAGCATCATTAAACCCTCGATCTCCATTCTCCCTCCCTTGCCTCGTGTACATGATTCTCTAGTGGCTTGGACGTATCCTTGGAATTTGTCGGTTTGCTCCTTTGTTAAATGAGCATTTATGATTCATGGGTTCCCTCTGAAATTCCATGCCGATGCCGCTGGAAGGGGAGCAAAACTTGTCCAAATATTCAGGGTTTCTGTTTTCCACGGAGTTTCCTTTGTTTTGCCCTTCAAACAACTTCGCAAATGCTCAAAAGGTCACATAGCGACAACCCTGAATTTTGGAAACCGAAGCCTTTAAGGCACAAAACGATCCGACACACCAGGTCTCAGTTTGCCAAAACTAACTCATTCAACCTAAGCGGGGTGGCTCGGCGGGACAAGGAAACACCCTGAAACATTTGGGACACTCCCCCCAACACCAAGACAACCATGAGTTTGGCAACGTGTTTGATTTGTTTGTCTTCTTAAAGGGCCTTATTCGTTGCTCTAATACCAGCCTATAACATATGACCAAACCGCAAGGGTAGAAATAATTGGATTGTTCCCCCCCCCCCGCCCCCAAAAGAAAAACAATCTTTGAGTCATAGGTATCCCTTTTGGAAAATAGATAGCCCTGGTAAATGGAATAAAACCCATCTAAACCACTGCCATCTATTTCTACCCAAGCTGAACTACAAAGGACGCCTATGCTTTGCGTCCCTAAGCCTCTGGGGATCTTCTGCCCAAAGCTTGGCCTCTGCGGTGCCCGCCTGGACGTCTAGGTCCGAAAACTCCACCTGCCGAGTCTACCACGTCCGAGGGGCACGCGCTGTCACGGCCGGTGCACACAGTACGTCACGCCACTCGGCTGTGGGTCAATACCCATGGGATCCCATTTTGGGGTAGGTGAATTAACCACCCATGTTAGAACCTATTTTAGTGGGGATGGGGATGTTCACTGGGGGCGCGGGATTTTGACCCATGGCCACTCGAGTGCACGTTTTTGCTGAAATTGCACCGACTGCACGGACCGGGTGGCAAAAAAACATGCTAAAAACAGTGCAACCGGCCTCTTTCACAGACTCAAATAGCCAACCGAAAGGAAGCAGAATCTCTGTGGAGGAAACTTCACAAGGCGCGGTCGCAACGAGATCACTAACTTCTCAGTTGTTGGGTGGATTGCCTGAAAAAACAGTAAGATGAGCAGGGCGCCACTGAACAACCGAGTACATGAACTCCAGTTTGTTGTTCGTGTTTGTCTCCCTCCCTCTCTCGCCCGCTCTTTGTTCGGAGTGCTCCGGGGCTCCGAGCACAGCTCCGGAGGAAGCTGGTGGTATCCAGCGCGTGGACACGCACCCCGCGGCCCGGCACGTCCTGCGCTTCATGCGACAGTGACTTGTAACACCGGCACGTTGTCTTGTAAAAGCCCGCAAGTTAGGAAATGTTGCCGAAAAAACAAAAAACTGATTGGAAGGAAGAAGCACTGGCGTGGAAGCTTGAATAGCCACATATTAAGCCTGACTGAGTGTTAGATGCGCTTAACCTGGCCTCACTAGGCTTGATAACGCCTTGAGCTTGCCACATATTACCTTATGAAGGACGTGCTGTTTGGACAGACTCCCAAATGCCACCGCGAGCCCTTCCCCTGTCCCCGCGAACCCCGAAGCGATCATCCCACCATTGTCACGGCTCACTACGTCCCTGAGTCCATCTCGGTACAGAAAAGGACATATCAAGTAATGGAGTAAGATGTGTCCTGGGTCGAAGCAAACGGAGAAAAACACAGACACACATTTATTTTGATCGTCTGCCCCGAATTATATCCCGTAGCAAAGCAGATTATCAATGGCAAATCATGGGAAAACATCATCTGACTTTCAATAATCTCCAATAGGGTTATCAGGGTTGGACTCAGTCACCCGTTTCTCGCTTTACTGTCACAGGGAATCAAAAGAGCCGCACCCCCCACCACGAACCTTCTTACAGGGTTCTGAGGAACCCTTGTGGGGTGCAGGGGCCAAGCCAATATCTCTCCTGGTTGAATCGAAATCCTCACTCCCATGTTGCTGTGTGATAAATAAAAGCAGCATAGCCTGGTTGCTCAAAGCTCACTTTCCTAGCTGTCCTTTTGGAAGAGTAGATGGCACGGGAATGGAGCCAAACTGAACCACGACTTAAAAGGACACCTCCCCGTCTCATCTCAAGGATTTATGGGCGCGTGTTTATTATTTGAGGGTACCCATTTCCCCCTGATTTAAACGGACACTAAAAGGGAAACCATCATTTGGGGGGCTATTGACGCATGTCTTTATGCTCGCAATCCTCAGTCGTAGGGCTCTTGGGCTCTTTTCCACCCGCCACTGATTGCATTGAGTCTGCGCAAGGCGATTTGAGGCTGGGGTTGCATCAAGCCTCCCTGCCCAAACTTGACAAGCATGAGCAGCACCCAAAACGAGGCCGCACGTTGTAACACCATCCCCCAAATGACTCGCGTTGCCATTATTTGCCCTCTGTTCGCCCGACCCCCCCCCCCTCACCAGCCTCCGCCATTACCATTATTCAAATAACCCAGGGCCAAATAATTTCTGCCGCAATTATTTGCCTCACCAGCCCCTGCGTTAGCAGACTCAAATAACGAATCCAAATGAATCTATTTGCCTTCTGCTTGCTTGACCCCCCCCGCTCACCAGCCTCCGCCAATATTATTAATCGAATAACGAAGAGCCAAATGATTCCCGTTGCCATTATTTGGACCCCGATAGTGGTCACGTAATGAAAACCCCAAATGATTTCCTTTACCATTATACTATCCTTCCTCGTTGTCCCCCCACCCCTCACCAGCCCCCGCCACTACTATTATTCAAATAATGAAGGGCCAAATGATTTCCCTTAGTAGTGGTCAAGTAATGAAACACCAAATGGATTCCCTTACCAACTTACTATCCTTTCTCACTGCCCCGTCCCCTCACCAGGCTCCGATATTAACGGTCAGAACTGAAACCCCAAATGATTTCCTTTACCATTATACTATCCTTGCTCGTTGCCCCGCCCCCCTCCCCTGACTAGCCTCCGCCATTACCATCATTCAATATAATAAAGGGACAAATGATTGTCGTTGCCCTTATTTGGACCCTCACTATCGGTCAAAATGATGTCCCATGCCATTATACTATCCTGTCTCGCTGACCCTTCCCCCCCCCCCCCCCCCGCTCACCAGCCTCCGCCATTACCATTATTTAAGTAATGACTTGCCAAATGATTTCCGAAACCATTATTTGCCTCACCCGCCTGCGCCATTACTATTATTCTCAAATAATGAAGGCCAGATGATTCCCGCTGCCATTACTTGGACCCTTAGCATCGGTCAGATAATGAAATACTATCCTTTCTCGTTGCCCCGCCCCCCTCACAAGCCTCCGCCATTAATTACTATTATTGAAATAATGAAGGCCAAATGATTTGCGTTGCCACTATTTGGACCCCTCCCCGCTCACCAGCCTCCGACATTAGTATTATTCAAATAATGAAGGGCCAAATGCTTTCCATTGCCATTATTCGCCACAAGCGCTCAACAATGAAACACGAAATCATGTTGCCCGCCATTATTTGAACAATGCCATGGTTTACTGACCAGTATTTTGGCCCCCCGCCCTCCCCTCCCCAAAATGAATGATCAAATTATTTCCTGGCCATTATTTTGGACCATGGCATTCCCCTGCTCACCAGGCTCCGCCATTAGTATTATTCAAATAATGAAGGGCCAACTGATTTCCGTTGCCGTGTTTTGACACAAGCGCTCACATAATGAAACACGAAATGATGTTGCCCGCCATTATTTCAATAATGCCATGGTTTCCTGGCCATCATTTTGAACCCCCGCCCTCCCCTCCCCAGAATGAATGCCCGAATGATTACCTGGCCATTATTTTGGCCCATGCATTCCCCTGCTTACCAGCCTCCGCCATGACTAGTATTTAAATAATGAAGGGCCAAATGATTTCCGCCGCCACTATTTGCCTCACCAGTCCCCGCCATGAGCATTATTCAAAGAACGAAGGGCCAAATGATGTCCGCCGCCATTTTTTGGACCCTTAGTAGTGGTCAAGTAATGAACCACCAAATAATGTCCTTTACCATTATACTATCCTTTCTCGTTGCCCCGCCCCCCTCACCAGCCTTCGCCATTACTATTATTCAAATAATGAAGGGCCAAATGATTTCCGTTGCCATTATTTGGACCCCCCCCCTCACGCCCACCAGCCTTTGCCACTAGTATTATTCAAATAATGAAGGGCCAAATGATTTCCGTTGCCATTATTTGGACCCCCCCCCGCTCACCAGCCTCCGCCATTACTATTATTCAAATAATGAAGGGCCAAATGATTTCCGCTGCCATTATTTGGACCCCCCCCCTCCCGCCCACCAGCCTTTGCCATTAGTATTTTTCAAATAATGAAGGGCCAAATGATTTCCGTTGCCAATATTTGGAACCTCCCCCCCCCCAACCAGCCTCCGCCATTAGTATCAAATAATGAAGGGCCAAATGATTTCCGTTGCCATTATTTAACCCCCCACCCGCTCACCAGCCTCCGCCAGTAGCATTATTTGACACAAGCGCTCAAATAATGAAACACGAAATGATGTTGCCCACCATTATTTGAATAATGCCATTTGTGGATAATTATTTGTTCGGGTGCCACCTGCTGAAAACCCTCGAAGCCTACCTGGCGCAACCGGGGACGCAAGCTGAGCAAGGCGCCCAAACAAAGCAGCCAAGTCAGGTGGTTTCATGATGAAACTCTGAGCAAACAAATGCCGCGTTTCAGAATTTCGTTTGGCAGCCAATCTTGCAAGGCACTGCGCTTTGGTCATTGCACCAACACTTTTTGCCACAGCCAGCAGGAAAACGGTCTGCTGCGCAGGTTTGCTGTCATCATGTATCTGTCATCTGTGTTGGCACTTGGGCGTGGACACTGTGCATGTGTGCTGCGACTGTTGGCAGTCGCCTGTGTGCGCAGATAAGGGTGGATTTAGGCGTGTGCATGTGTGCTGGTGACTGCGCACACTTGGGGGGGGATCTGTCTTTATGTCTGTGTGCCTCTGCATGCCTGCGAGTCTGCGGGTCTGGGTGTCTGCGTCTCTGCGTGTCTGCGTGTCTGCATCTCTGCGTGTCTGCGTGTCTGTGTTTGTGTTTCTGTGTCTGTGTGTATGTGTGTGTGCGCACGCATGAGTGGTGGTCATTTCCTTCTAAGCTTGAATGGACATATGGGCCCCTTCCGCGAAGCAGTCCGCAAAGCTACTGCGGTGTAAATCGCGAGCGTGTTTCTACATAACTTTGAAACCTTTTGCAAAGCTTCCGCGGTGTGATGTGAAGGGTAGCTTCCGCGAGCATGTTTCTATACAAGTGCTTACCGCGGGCCTGGTGCGGGCAAGTTGTTTCTGGTAATCGAGGTAGCTTCGGCCAGGGAAGTCTTGCGCGTGATTTGCTGGCAATTCTGGCAAGAGCAAATGTATTTCTGGAAAGACCACATCAACCAAATCTCTTGCGCGAGCTTCCGCTGGAAAAAAAACAAACAAACAAAAAACACATAATTCTGCAGAGCTGCCCCGAACGTTCCGCAGCTGCAGTGTGGTGCTACCATGTTTGTTCATATATCCACCTCTAGACATATTTGCTGGAGCGGGCAAAAGAGTGCCACCCACTTGAACACGGACGCCAGTGCGTGCGTGCTGTCGACTGTGTATGTGTACACACACACACACTTGGACGTGGACGTCGACGCTGACATTTGGCCCTGCATGTGTTCTGTCGACTGTGTGCGCTCTTGGCAGTGCATGCGCGGTTCCGACTGTGTGTGTGTAGCTGGGCTTGGATGCTAACAGTTGGCCGCGAATGTGTGCCGTTCACTGTGTGGCCAGAAAACAACTGCCAACAAATGCAAGGCCGGTTGTGGGCGCAAGGTGCTAAACACCTGCAAAACTCTAGAGGCCTTAGAGCGGCATTGGCTGGTAGAACCTTCATAACAGCAGGTAGTAGGACCACCTATTAACATCGCCAATGGGGGTTGTGGAGGCTGATCTGTGAATAGCTTGCTTTGGCAGGCAGCGTAGCCAAAGCAGCAAATCGCGAATAGCTCACGGCATCATCATGGCCTCAGACAGGAAGGGAGCGTTTGAGTGAGATTGCGCTACCCCTAAGGCACATTATGTTCCTAAGGAAAGTGGGATAAATTGCCAAATGTATATCCCCAAAAAATACGTGTATATATAATCATGCATCCAGGCTATACACCCCGTTGCTTCTTGGGGTTTGGGAACTTTGGGTTGACCCCCTGGTTGTGCATACCCTGTTGTAACATGCCCCAGTTCCTCCC